AGAGCTAGAGATCAAACCTGGGCAGCCTGGCTCCAAAACCCCAGGCTCTTAACCAGTGCATCAAAGGAGCAATTTCAAACCTGGGAGCAAAGGAGGAAAGAGAAAATGGGAGGCTCCATAGAGCTCCCCATCACCGTGCTGCCTTCTCCACCTGGGAACGGAGGTCATGCAGTTTGACAGGAAGGTTTCCTACCTCATCCTGGCCCTGCCTCCAGCTTACTGGGTGTCATCAGGCAAGTCCCTTAGCCTCTCTGGCAGTCTCCCCCAATGGAAAAAGAAAATGTTTGTATGAGGGATGATTGGGAGGGCCCCGCTGGCCCTCTGCCATTGGTCCTCCTCTGCTTGGTACTGTGCAATCTAGAAAGGAAGCTTAATACCACGCCATTGTTTCCAGGTTCATAATCTCCCTCCTCTTGGGCACCAGGGCCTCAGGGCCTCCCCGTCCCCTTTCATTCACCTGGCTGCAGGCTACTTCCTTCTCCCTGCCCCTCCTACAGGTGCTAGCTGGGAGAGAGATCAAGCTCTGCTGGACATGTCAAATCAGAGGCTTACGTGAGCCCCCAGACCTCTTTTTCCCAGGTCCCTGGTGGCTAAGGTGCTACAGCAACCTCTCCCCAGCAGGCTGTCAGCAGAACCGACCCGTGCTCACCCTAGACGTCTCCCTCTTTGCCCCCTTCCACGAGCTGCATCATGCAGGCACGCCAGCTTCAATCACACAGGTGAGGACAACACCCTAGTGGATGGGGAGGAACAGGAACCTCCGAGAACACAGCTGCCCCACCAGCTGTGACAGGCGGACTGTTCCAGGACTCCCTCATCCTGGAGCCCGGGCATTTTCAGTCCCTGCGAGACAACAGAGTACATACCAAGGCTGTTTACAGAGGCCGTATCTGGGAAGGCAAGCCACTTCCAGCTCCCACTGGCCGATGTGCAGAAAGTCACCCCGTGTCCAGCAGATCTAAGTCCCAAAATAGACAGTGGCCATGTGTCCACTATTCCCCAGCCTTTCCATTTGTGAAAAGAACATCTGTGGCCACTTGGTGTCCTGGAGATTTCATTTGCTACCTCAATCTGTATCCCAGAGCAAAGATGTCTACTTGCTTGATTAAACCAGTACTACCAGAAGCTAGAGTTTCTCCATTTCCTCGATTCCCACTCTCTGTCTGCTTAGGTTTATGAGATGGAAGGAAGGAGTTGGGGGGATAGTGGGGGGAGTTGAGATCTACGTCGGAAGTCCCTGATCATGGAAATGAACGGAAATGTACAACCTTTCAGAAAGAGATCCATGTCAGGCTCTGTTATGGTGTGACGTCAGCATGCTTTCAGAGGTATTGCCCATAATCGGCAGGGAAGGACTCTGAATCATTGAAATATGCCCAATATGTCATCTACAAAGAAAACGCATCTCACCATGCTAGGCTAGGAGCGAAGGCACCCAGATCACCTGAATGATATGATGGGCATCTCAGTAAAAATGCAAGCAAGGGAATTTGTACAAATTTCACTCAATAACTGAGCACCAATGACGTGCCAAATCCTGTGCCGAGTTCTGAGGATGGCAAACAAACAGAACAAACAGCTCCTCCTTTAGAGGAACTCACAGACCCGCAGGGGCATCTGATACCAGGACAACTGATTCTAGTATGACTTTCATGTCACCTACTAATCTACTGAGCAAAGAGAGCAGTGAATATGGTTGACTCTGAACAGGTGAGTCCCAGAGGCTGTCAGAGAAGACAGGACGTATGAGCTGGAGGAACAGAATTTACAGGAAGAAATCTGGGCAAGAAGCAGGAATTATAGTGGAGGAACAATGAAGGTGAGGCTGTCAAGAGGGGTCTATGTGCAAATCAAGGGTATGCTCTAGTGATCTGAGTGTTTTCTACATGAGGAAACCTTACCTGGCCCAAGCGTGCTCTGATCCACATGCCAACAGGGCAGAATGGTTAAGAACGT